AAGAAGTTTCTTAATTCTGGAGGCAGGAGACTGGGTACTCAAAATCCCTGTGCTAGAAAAACTCAACAACTGTGACAACAAAGCAGTAGACAGAAGCTGAGGCCAGGCATTTAAATTAGTATTAACTGAGCAGGGAAAGGGCAACAAAACCCGATGAAATTACTTTTGTTGGAATAAACTGTCAAAGGACATTTGCTAATTTCTCATTAGCTTTGAATAGGCAAGGTATCCTTTGGAAAGTTCTGCTTTGTGAGAGGTAAGCTATGCGGCAAAACACTATGCGTGCAAGAATTTGGTGGAATTCAGCATATACATAAAGCTGAGGAAGAATCTGCTGGTGTCAGTCTGTAAGGATCCTCTGCTGACAGAGGAGCCAGCGAAGGGTCGAGGGTACAAATTCCCCGGGGAGGTGGCTGTGATAACACCGTGCTGACAGCGCTTCCCGACTCCAACCCAAAATGGCTCGCATGAAAAGAGAATCCCTAGCACTGAAAGCTGAACATAGTCAACACCTGAAAACAGTCTGGCAAGGTATTTAACGTCCAGGGAATCACCCTGTCCTTTAGCGCCACACAGTTCCCCTCTAGCTCGACACAGCCTTTTTCACAAAAGGTAGGTACCACTGAAGAATGAAATTTGATTTTGAAGATGAAAATTTGAATGGTTTAGGATTACTGTATTAAAAAGAGAAAAGTATTTCAAAACAACACTTGGCAACCAAAGGTGTCCCCTTTTACTTAACTGTCACTGGTTTTGCCCCACTGTATGTCAGACTGACAACATGTACTGCTGGAGAAGGGAGGTGGATGCAAGTTCTTCAAACACCGCTCTGATTACCTGGAATCAGCTTCCTGGCAAACACAGAATCGAGAAAAATGTAGGCTTTTTAATGTACTTTATTTATTTCTGCCACCACCAAACTTAAGATGAACGGAGAACAGAAGGATAAAATGCCGATTGCGCACTGGCCGTTGGACAAGACGATCCCTGTAGGTCCCTTCCAACTGAACTGCTCTCTTCTGTAAGAAAAACTTGCAAAGGCCGTTGATTCTGGACGAGAGCACTCCCAAGGCTACACCCAGCAGTGAGCCGCAGCCGTCTGCAGGAAGGCTGGCACGGGCAGGAGCGCAGCCGGCGTTACAGCCATGGCTCCAGCGCCAAGGCAATGGAAGAATTCTCCCATCCTGGGGGCCACCGGGATTACAGGGTCACTGAAAGCGCTCGGGACCAGTCAGGATGTGTGCTAAAGCCACTAAACCTGCCAACCTCCCTCAGAGCCACCTGCATGTGCCCAGATTCATCTGCATGTGTCCAAAGTTGCTGAGGGGGGGTATCCCCCCCCTCAACAGGTATTCACAGCATCTAAATTTAGGCATCCAATTTGGGCTTCAATTAGAACTTTGTTCTCTGCATGATAGCTAGAGGCAACCCAGGATAATTGAGAGCCTAACAGCACTCGAGGTGGAGAAGAAATTGCATTTTTGAACTGGGATGGAGTTATTAGCCAAGTATCTCTTCCCGATCATCTGCTCACTGCTCAACACTTTCATGTCACGGTTCCCTTAATTACCAGGTTATCAGAACCTTCACAACCAGGCAGAAGCTGAATTTTTAGCCTACAAAAATAAGCATGGGGAAAAGTCCTGAGCCTCTCCCTCCTAGCACCTGATACAGAGAAAAATATCGTAACAAACTACAGCTCTGAAGGGCTTCCGCAGGATGTCTGGGACCCCCTTTTCTAGGGATTTTTGCTGAAAACTCTCACATCCCAATGCTGCAACCCAGAACTGAAGACAGACTTTGGCAGATGCTCCAACACAAATACAAATCCAGCTGAATCAAGAGGCACATCCAAGAGCTCGCTCCCGCCCCGAGAGAGGGACAGACGGACGGACGGCACAGCACGTGTGGGGAGCAACCGCACTGCTCTCGTTCCAGCAGTGCTCTTCAGAAGCGACAAAATACCCCAGCCAGATTAAAACCTAGAATAATCATTTGCAAGCAAGTGGTCGGGATCTAGAGCCTACTCCAAAAAAGCAGAATTAAATTACACCCACTCACCCCACAGACAGTCTTTTATCTGAGCAAATTATGGGCAGACACCCTGGTAGCTCATGGAGTCAGACCATTAAGTGCTTATAGTTCTCATCCACGTTGTTTTATTAAAGCTTTTTTATTATTATTACAGCTTTTTACTAAGAGCTAGGAAAAAAGAGCTCAAATGACCCACAGAAATGAGAAGATAGCATCATACTGATAATTTGTTACATAGCAGTGAATGAAATTGTTCAGTGAAGTACAACTGCTTTGCTATCACGGTAATTCTTTCCACGGGCATACTACTCTTGGTACTTGACAGCATGCAGACTCTTCAGTATTACCAGTTAATAAGGACTAAGCAAACAAAATGACTAAGCTGGAACAAAGATGCTTTGGGCAGAAGGAAGCTCCCTGGACCTGTCAGCACACACTCACAGAGACGGGCAGGGGTGGGCTCACAGCTGTGTGTGCGGGTTACACACCTCCCACTTCTGTTCCAAGTTTACATTCTATAGGAAACACTGGAATAAACAGAGTGCCCTAAAAATCCAGGCTTCAGATTCACAGGGCATTTTCAGTAACTGTTTGTAACTCAATGCAAGGATGTTACACAGTATGGAAAAGACAAGATGACAAAGTTGTTTGAACACAGTGTTGCTCATTTAGCAAAAGCCCAATTTTATGCTATTTAATGTATTTACGTAGCAGTTTTGAATAGCAATCTATTTTGCTCCTCATTTTTAAAGAGAAAGCTTGTATTCTGGCTGTCTGTAAGCAGCAGCTGCTCATGGCTGTGCTCACCACTCTGCTTTCAGCTGCAGAGTGCCGGCACCCCCACGGCTACAGTGAGGATCCACTCTTGCCATTTCACACCGACCTGCCTTCCTCTACATACAGGTGTCTCTGCCACACATCAGGGATAGCTTATGGCTTTCGTGGTTTGATTTTTGGAGTTCTGAAATGCATTCAGGTGGGAAAGAAACTCTCACAGACTTCGAACATGTCTAAAGGCTCTCTCAAGAAATACAAAACAAGACAATTCAGTGCTGAGCACTACAAGGGGCTCCTGTGCCACCACCACGTACAGTAGCACGTTTCCTTACAGAAATCCACACCCTCAACTCCTGTTTATTTAGAAATACTACAGCATGCTGAGTACTCTCTACTTCCCTGAAATAATGCTGGGAACAGTATGGAAGAGCACGCAAAGCTGCTAATATGACACCAGTGGAGGTGATGTAGAATGAAGGTGGTAGGAGCCAGGAGGGGGAAGCAATTTTGAGAAGCCAGCACGAGGTAAGCAGGTGGGAAACAGTAGGACCAATCACCACATCAGTAGCAAAATACTCTTCCCCTTAATGCTATAAATATTCCCCAATACTGGGGCACAAGGGAGGTTCCTCAGGAGACCTCCGCTGCCCGGCACAGCATCTTCAAACTTGCATGACAGAGAAGAGGGGGTGAAATGTTTACCAGAACATGCTTAGTCGTGCCCCTTGATCAGACAGGTTTGCAGCAGAGCATGAGCAGATGTAGAGTAAATCAAGCAGACGTGCAGCTGAACACTTGACCCTCAACAGCAACCACTGCTCGAGCTGGAGACCCCTCCTAGGTGGGTGTCAGGCCCCCGGGTGCCCCCTCGGCAGAGCTGGAAGGGGGAAGAGGCTGTCAGCCCATCCGGGGCCATGCACACACACACCCCCTGCGCCCGAGCCAGGCTCTGGAAAGATGACTGACAGGGCAAGAAAACTGGGGAACAGCACTGCTGCAACTTTGGAGAGCAAAGCAACACGAGCCTGTTGTATATAAACAACAATCAAAGCCAGTACAATCCGTCAGCATACTGAAAGGTCTCCAGAGGGAAGCGGTAATAACCAGTGTTGGTGATGCTTTGATTCCATTGGGGCATACCAGGGAAAAACAAGAGTGTCTGTGAACCTATTTCCGTGGTTCACTCCCAACCCCAAATAGTAAAAAACTAGAGAAAGAAAGAGAAGAGCTCAGATCAGATTTTACGCCCCTTGAAGGTAACAAAGATTTACCAGGTGTACACTAACATGCAGAAGCACTTCAAACATCAAGAGCTGAGCTTTGTTAGTCCTCCTTTCCCAAAAGGAGGGATTATATGAGGACTTTGATGGGGGAGTGGGCACAATCCTTCCTTCCTTTCAGCTTGGGGCTGTGACCACCCCTCCCTGCAAGACTGTGACGAGCATCACACCCAGAAACTCCTCGAGCAAAAACACTGAGAGAAGAGTAAATTGGGGTAAACCTAACAGAAAAAAATTTAAAATGTTCCATGCTAATTCTGACTGCTGGCTTACAGCGCGTTATGAGGGAGCAGCAGTTTAGCTCCTGGGGGGAAGGAGCGTCTCGCAGCCTGCACTGGGCCAGGGGAGCCCGGCCGGCTGCGAGCCGGGTCCCACGCGTGGGACGGCGGGTCCGGTGCCCCCCGGGACCCCCCGCCACGTCCCGCGGAGCGGGGCTGGGGCTGCGCGCTCGGCCCCCCCCGGCACCGCCACGCACAGCGCGGCCCCCGCGGGTCACTGCGCGGAAATCCCCGCTGACCTATTTCTGCTCCGCACACGCCGATCGCAATTAAAGGCGTTAAGCTCCTCAGCCTCCCGAGGAGCCGGGCTGGCCCCGGCGGGCCGGGGGAAGCGGGGTCGCGGCGGGGGGTCCCGGTGCCAGGCGCCCCCTCCCCACCACCACCAGCACCACCAGCACCCCGGCGGCGACCGCGCATCGCGGCTGCCGGCGGCGGCGCGCAGGGCTCCCGGTGCCGCTCCCGGTGCCCGGTGCCGCTCCCGGTGCCGCTCCCGGTGCCCGGTGCCCGCTCCCGGTGCCCCTCCCGGTGCCTGGTGCCCGCTCCCGGTGCCCGGTGCCCGCTCCCGGTACCCGCTCCCGGTGCCCGGTGCCCGCTCCCGGTGCCCGCTCCCGGTGCCCGCTCCCGGCCCTACCTGCGCACAGCGAGACGGCGGCTCCCAGCAGCGGCAGGGCCACCCGCAGCGCAGGGCCGGTAGCCCGCAGCGCGGGGCCGGTAGCCCGCAGCGCGGGGCCGGTAGCCCGCCGCATGGCCGGGGCCGGATCCTGCTGGTGCTGGGCACCGGCCCCGCCGCCCGCAGCTATAGCGGGGCGGGGAGGGGCCGCCCCCCGGCCCCGCCCCCCGGCCCCGCCCTCACCGGCCCCGCCCCCCCGGCACCCACCGGGGTTTGGGGGTTTGGGGGAGGGGGGAGCCCCGGCCCGGCCCCCCCGCTGCTGCCGGCGGGTCCCGGGGGGCGCGGAGCCGGGCCCCGGCCGGCACCTCCCCGAAAACCGGGCTGCCGCCCACCTCTTCAGTTCTTTGGATTTTTTTTTTATTTTTTTTTCTCTCCACCAAACACCTATTGGCGGCATTTCCCTCGGTTGCTGCACCAGGCGATGCCATATTTTCCACAAACAGCAATATTCTGCACTGTTTCCAGTGTTTCCTCACTACCTGGGTGTGATCTACCCCATACCGAGACCCTCAGAACCGCCCCCTGCCCCCCCGGCAGCTGGGGTCCTGCCACCGCCCAAAAGCTCTTCCACGCTACAAACCACCACGCTACAAACCACCACCGCATTTTTTGAAGGCATCGTGCCACTAGAACCCACGAGCCTCAGTAGCACTTACGGATATCATCACAAAAATCAACAAAACTTATATCAAGACATAATCGAGTCTATTCTAACCGTGGTGGGGGAGCAGACTATGTAGTCTACATACAGACGGCTGTCTGTAGGAAGGTGCTGCACACGCTCCATTTCTCTATTTGTTTTAAGGTGAAAATACTAGGAAGATCCCCGTTTCCCACACATCATTAGATGCATCTCTAGATTTTTATTACTGCCATGTAATACTCTATTATTATTATGACATCTCTATTAAGCCTTTTAGACTTCCCTAGACAGCAATTCCTAGCAGTGATTTCCTTCCAGTTTTTTGAATACTGAAGCTGGTGACATATCTCAAATCAGACTTCTGCAGCTTACCTTGTTCTACCTGGTATTTCCAAACGCGCTGACAGAGTTTTCATAATTATATCAAAATGCCTGAGGGGAAAAAAAGAAATCATCACTATCTGTTGATTTTATTAATGTACTTTTCCTTAAGTATTTATTCAGGGTTACAACATGGCCCTGTTCACAAGGTCTTTCCTAGCCCCTAATCCCCGATGTTTCTCAGCTGCAGGGTCACAGCTGAGCTCCCCCGGCCGCTGCCACGCACCATCCCAGCCTTTCCCGAGGCAATTACAGTTTGGGAGTTCCAACAAGGCCCTGGAATTTGGGGTTTCAATGCATTCCAATGCTTTGCTGCTAGCAGAGAATTCATTAGGACCGGGTCCAATTAGGAGCCTGATGCTGTGGCGTGGAGACCCCAATGACCTGGACGAACGCCTGCCCACCGTCACCACCGGGTGCACGGGTGGGCCGAGCCCAGGCACCCCGGCCCCCATGGGCCCCCCTCCAGCCCCTGCTTTGGAAAAATGTGGCGGATCCAACTAAGTTGTCTTAAAATACCCCAGAGGAGAAATACAACCGGTGTCGGAAGCCCTCACCTGGGCAGTGAGAAAGCTGGGCTGGAGCCCCGCTCAGCCGAAGGAGCCCCTGGGGGTCCCGGGGCTGCGGCCGAGGGGGGCTGGGGAGGTGCCCCCCGGGGCACGAGGCAGGACGGGACCACCCCACGCGCGCCTGAAAGGAGCACCACCGCCTTCCTGAGCGGCCCGAGGGGCAGGGCGGCAGCCCCAGCACCCCCGGGCCCCCTCGGGAGAGCCCGGGCTGCCGGCCCCGCACGAGCCCCTTCACCCAGCCCAAGCCCAGGGCTTGGAGTTTGGGTCAGTGCTGTGAGTTTTAGTGACGTGTTTAACTCAATTCATGTGCTCCAGTTAATAGCACTCGATCTGTGCTTCTGCATTACCCTTTCACAAGCAAAAATCATTTGACTAAATGCTTTTAGAAAGAAAATTAATTAACTTGTATCAAGATACAAATACGGCAAAGATGAAGTCCAAGTGGCCTAGGATTAAGGAGCCATTAAACAAAAGCTGCTCTTCCACAGTATTCTTTGTTGTCATCCAAATATATCCAGGGAAGGTACTCATGACTTCCATGTCACCCCACCACCAGTCAAATGCAATGGGATCATCTTATTACAATCTACCTTACATCTTGTTACAATCTTCTCTCACATCTTGTTACAACCAAGTCCAACATGTTGACTATTTCACAGCAGACACTACAGGTATACAAAATACCATGCTGAAATATAACAGCAGCATATTACACACCTTGCTGCTTTATAAATAATGCAGAGTCATTAGAAAATACATGCCAAGATCTAATTAAAAAATGCAGGTTTGCACGTCAAAGCAATAAAATAGAGGAAAAATTTGCAGCCTCCCTCCCTTCGGAAGGCATGGCGTTAGTAACTGCTCTCTGAGTACAGCTTGCCGAATACCTGTTAAGCCATACCTTACCTTCAGCTTGCTCATGGGAATGCCACGAGAGAATGGCAAAATCCTCACTGACATCTACCTACTGCTCACCTTTCAGGCAAAATTAGATAAACGTAACACTGTTCTTGGTAAATCCATGTTTTCTTTCTTCCCTTTTGAAGACTTACAAATCATTTACTTTATTTGCTCGCTGCTACTAGAAAGTGTAAATATGTGTCATCCAGACTCATCTCTGGTTCATAGCATGTAATTATTACTTCTGCTTTTTTTGTTTGAAGGAAGATACAGAATTATGAAATATGCAATTAAAGTAATTAAGGTTATTCTTCAGTTTAAAAAAAAAAAATAATCTGTAGAACGCATTTGCTCATCTTCAGCAATGAAGAAAACAGTAGGTCCTGTGCTTGTCAAGAACAAGAATCAGTGTTTACAGAAAGAAGCTTGCAGCACACATACTTGCAAAAAATGTTTGCTGCTGCAAATAAAGCAGCACTTAATACATTGTCCATTCTGGTTTTAAACAAACATTTCTGATAAAATCATGGTTAGCTACTTATCTTAATAGCATCCCCAAATGTACTTCTTGTCTCCCGACATAAAAGGGAAAGGCTTTTGTTCTAAAGTTTTCCATTTTCATTGCAAGCGTTCAAGGGGTACAGCAGGAAGAATGTTCCACACCTTCTCCCTTCCAGTATAACGGAGCAGAGTCCAGGGCTTTATTGTATACCCTTCCTTCCTTCCCCTATAGCTACCCTTCCCCTATAGTTATGCTTCCCCTGTAGCTACTCTTCCCCTATAGCCACCCTTCCTGTACAGCCACCCTTCCCCTGTAGCTACGCTTGCCCTATAGGTACCCTTCCCCTATAGGTACCCTTCCCCTATAGGTACCCTTCCTCTACAGCCACCCTTCCCCTAGAGCCCCCCTTCTTCCCCTATAGCCACCCTTCCCCTACAGCCACCCTTCCCCTGTAGCTACCCTTCCCCTGTAGCTACCCTTCCCCTATAGCTACCCTTCCTCTACAGCCACCCTTCCCCTATAGCCACCCTTCCCCTATAGGTACCCTTTCCCTATAGCCACCCTTCCCGTACAGCCACCCTTCCCCTATAGGTACCCTTTCCCTATAGCCACCCTTCTTCCCCTATAGCCACCCTTCCCCTATAGGTACCCTTCCCCTATAGCCACCCTTCCCCTATAGCCACCCTTCCCGTACAGCCACCCTTCCCCTACAGCCACCCTTCCCCTGTAGCTACCCTTCCTCTACAGCCACCCTTCCCCTATAGCCACCCTTCCACTATAGGTACCCTTCCCCTATAGGTACCCTTTCCCTATAGCCACCCTTCCCGTACAGCCACCCTTCCCCTATAGGTACCCTTTCCCTATAGCCACCCTTCCCGTACAGCCACCCTTCCCCTATAGGTACCCTTTCCCTATAGCCACCCTTCTTCCCCTATAGCCACCCTTCCCCTATAGCCGCCCTTCCCCTATAGCCACCCTTCCCCTACAGCCACCCTTCCCCTATAGGTACCCTTTCCCTATAGCCACCCTTCCCCTATAGCCACCCTTCCCCTGTAGCTACCCTTCCCCTATAGCTACCCTTCCTCTACAGCCACCCTTCCCCTATAGCCACCCTTCCCCTATAGGTACCCTTTCCCTATAGCCACCCTTCCCGTACAGCCACCCTTCCCCTATAGGTACCCTTTCCCTATAGCCACCCTTCTTCCCCTATAGCCACTCTTCCCCTATAGCCACCCTTCCCCTATAGCTACCCTTCCCCTATAGCTACCCTTCCTCTACAGCCACCCTTCCCCTATAGGTACCCTTTCCCTATAGCCACCCTTCCCCTACAGCCACCCTTCCCCTATAGCCGCCCTTCCCCTAGAGCCACCCTTCCCCTAGAGCCACCCTTCCCCTATAGCCACCCTTCCCCTATAGGTACCCTTTCCCTATAGCCACCCTTCTTCCCCTATAGCCACCCTTCCCCTATAGCCACCCTTCTTCCCCTATAGCCGCCCTTCCCCTATAGCCACCCTTCCCCTATAGCCACCCTTCCCCTATAGGTACCGTTTCCCTATAGCCACCCTTCTTCCCCTATAGCCACCCTTCCCCTATAGCCGCCCTTCCCCTATAGCCACCCTTCCCCTATAGGTACCCTTTCCCTATAGCCACCCTTCCCGTACAGCCACCCTTCCCCTATAGGTACCCTTTCCCTATAGCCACCCTTTCCCTATAGCCACCCTTCCCCTACAGCCACCCTTCCCCTATAGCCACCCTTCCCCTATATCCGCCCTTCCCCTATAGGTACCCTTCCCCTATAGCCACTCTTCCCCTATAGCCACCCTTCCCCTATAGGTACCCTTCCCCTATAGCTACCCTTCCTCTACAGCCACCCTTCCCCTATAGCTGCCCTTCCCCTATAGGTACCCTTCCCCTATAGCCGCCCTTCCCCTATAGCCGCCCTTCCCCTATAGCCGCCCTTCCCCTGCACCCCATTGCCCTTGGAGAACCTGCAGTGTGGACGCCCTCCCACGCAGGCGCTAAGGGCCACACTCCCCTGTCCCCGACGCCGAGGACGCGGCGCGGTGCCGCCGGTAGCACCGCACGCCCGGCGTGCGCGGGGCCGACAGCAGAGCGGCAGCTCTGGCGGCACGTCTCGGTGCCAC